TCCCCCCTCCCCTCTCTTTCAAAATACATCCATTTTTTTTTTTTAATTTTTTTTTTCAATGTTTATTTATTTTTGGGACAGAGAGAGACAGAGCATGAACGGGGGAGGGGCAGAGAGAGAGGGAGACACAGAATCGGAAACAGGCTCCAGGCTCCGAGCCATCAGCCCAGAGCCTGACGCGGGGCTCGAACTCACGGACCGCGAGATCGTGACCTGGCTGAAGTCGGACGCTTAACCGACTGCGCCACCCAGGCGCCCCAAAATACATCCATTTTTAAAAAAGAAATCATTTTATAAAATCAAATCAAAATGAACACTGATCAAAGATTTGCATTAACCTTAAGCATAAGACAAATTTCCTACACTACTTCAAAGCAAGAAATAAAAGTTCTCATTATAACACATATTAGCCAAAAATCAGACTTCAAGTTTTATTTTTTTTAATTTTTTTTTTTAATTTTTTTTTTTTCAACGTTTATTTATTTTTGGGACAGAGAGAGACAGAGCATGAACGGGTAAGGGGCAGAGAGAGAGGGAGACACAGAATCAGAAACAGGCTCCAGGCTCTGAGCCATCAGCCCAGAGCCCGATGCGGGGCTCGAACTCACGGACCGCGAGATCGCGACCTGGCTGAAGTCGGACGCTTAACCGACTGCGCCACCCAGGCGCCCCAAGACTTCAAGTTTTAAATAGCAAGTCAACCTATAGCACAGGGGTTGGATCAGCATGTCAAGAAAACTATAGCTTTTAAGGATACCTGGAATTCTGAAAATATGACACCTAAAAATTGTGTCTATCAAAAGTAAAATCTATCATTTTTCCAGAGAAGTACTTTATTTGAAAGTTTAAAGATATCTTCTTTCTTTGCACATGGGAAGTAATGTTGTAAGTTCTATATAGTGACAAAAGTGATTCATGTAACATTTTATAGTCATATGCTAAAATTTCAAAGATTAACTCATAATGTTTTCATTTTACAACTGATTGAAATCAGTCTTTGTTTTCCTTCTCAGTGCTTAAGTTTTTGCTTCTAAGCAGACATGAGAAAGTCTGCTTAGAAATCAGAACAGCATATACTGGATTTCTGAGGGCAACTATAATCATGTTTCCTTCTGAATTAGTTTTTTATAAATCTCCCTCTTCTTTTCTTTCTTACACAAAATTGAAAACATACTACAGAGATTTTTTTTCTTGCTTTTTCCACTCAACATTTTCCCAGGTCTTTATAAATATTCCCCCAAATATAATTTTCAATGGCCGCTACATACGAATTCTATGGTATTATTATTTAGCTCTTTTCTACATTAGGGATCTTAAGTTGTTTTGAATCCTTTGCTTTTATTGCTGAAATGAAAATTCTTATGCATAATCATGTTTGCATCTCAGGTTATTTGGGATAAATTCCTAGAATTTGTCAATTCAAATAGTAAGAACATTGTAAAGTTGTACAAAACAAATTGCTTTCCATAAAGATTATAAAATTTATACTTCCAACATTCTTTGAAAATGCCAATTCGCTCCATATTCAAAAAAAGTAAATTTTCTTTTTTAAAAACCTGTCCATTTTAAATATCAAAAATACTATCTCAGTGCTTTAATTCATTTTTTAGTGAGATTGAACTCTTTTATACTCAGTATTTATAATTCTATCTTTTCAAGTTGTTGTCTTTTATCTATCTTGCCATTGCAGTGTTGTTTTTTTCCTATTCAACTACTATAACTCAATACAAAGGATCTAAATCTTGCTAATGACATCTGTAAATTTTTATTTTGTAAGTTGTCTAGCCAACCTTTCCCCTTGTGATTTTCCCGCAATTTTTATGCTTAGGAACTCCTTTCTCATTTCAACCTAACTATTGACATATTTTCTTTTAGTTCTTTTGTTTCATTTGATGTCTATATTTTTAAAACACTTGGAATTTATTTTTGGTATGGAATCAGGATGATGACTTAATATCTGGTAGCATAAGAGCCCATTAATCATTATTTACAAAATTTTCTGCCTCCTTTTCCAGATTAGCTATTGAAATCACTTGGGTAGTCCTCCCCCCACCAGAAAAAAAAAATCTCATTTAGGTTCTTACTGAAATTGCAATTAAATTATAAATAAAAAATAGGGAGAATACATAGAAGAATGTTGAATACTGGGGCTGTCAGGCAATTACCTCATACCTATTATAGAAATACTTCCAATATCTCATTTGTTTACCACTACATAAGCTTTTTGTGTCAGGTGGTAGTTTTTAGAAGTGTATTAGAGATTTCACTGTCCATTTTTATTACTGATTTTTTTTTTATAAATATTTATTTTTGAGAGAGAGAGAACATGTGGGTATGCATGCGGAGTGGGCAGAGAGATAGGGATCAGAGGTTCTGAAGCCAGCTCCCCACTTATAGCAGACAGCCCGACACAGGGCTTGAACTCACGAACCGCGAGATCATGACCTGAGCTGAAGTTGGATGCTCAACCAACTAAGCCACCCAGGTGCCCCATCACTAAATCTTTAGCTAAATTTATTAATTTTGTATTTTGTCAAATACCTTTATAACCATTTTGGGATTACATGTGCCTTTATGCTTTATTCTCTAGATCTCATGTATAAACAGGTTTCTTAACAGTGATCCATTCTTTAATTCCTGTCATTAAGTCCAGCTCTTAGTAGTGTAGTATTTTTTAATATGTGGGTAATTTGGGGTTGCTTGTGCTTTAGTTAACATTTTTACATACTGATATATCTAGTCTGGAGCTTCTTTGAAGGTAAGTTTTTAGATAATTATTAACATTTCAATGATCACCCATTTCAATTAGATGTTCAACTTCCGTATTTCACTTCCATTTTCCCTGAAAAATGTTCATTTGGAGATTTTCAATCTCAATTTTTAAAATCTCATCTGCATTTACTGTTTATATGCCATTCAGGTTTTTTAATTTTGCACATTTATGGCTTTCATTTTTCTTTTTGTTAGGGGTCTTAAATGTTTGTCTTTGTTTCCTGTCTTCCTGTGTCAACAAAGAATTAGTTATTTAACTTGCCACATCTTTATTTTACTTTAATTAATTTTCACTCACTTGAACAATGAGTCTTGTCTTGTGCCATGCTATTAACTCAATTTGTAAAGTGTCTGTTGCCATTCATACTATGAACCTTGGGCAGGCTGCTATGAAAGGTCATGTCTTCCAATCGCCAATTTAATTAATTAGAAAAGTCACTATTAGCTCAACATAATCTGCTGGAATTTTTAGAACCTAGTTTTTAAATTCTGTTAATGTTTCAAGAAAAAATCAGCTAACTAGGTGTTAGGAATCTGGTGTTAGGAAATTAGAAAACTACCTTCTTGCATTTTTTCTAGAAGGCACTCTGCTCCAATGTTTCATTTTCAGCACTATATGAGCTAAACACTTCAGAGTAAATTAAGTGCACTATAGGGAAGAAACAAAAGGGAATGAAGAAACAAATTTAATGCTGGAAACTATAATGTTCAATAAAATGTAAATACAAACAATTTACCTTTATTGAAATTAGGAAAAAAATACACTTCAGAAGCCACATGTTTCTTTTTAGGAATGATAATCTGATTGTGGCAAAACTCAGTATTCATGCATTCTTCAGATTTGCCCAATTTTTCTTCTTTTTTTAAGTTTGTTTTGAGAGAGCATGCACAGGCAAGAGATGGGCAGACAGAGAGGAAGAATGAGAATCCCAAGCTGGCTCCATGCGGTCAGATCCTGATCTCACGAACCATGACATCATGGCCTGAGCTGAAGAGCTGGACGCTTAACCAACTGAGCCACCTGGGCACCATGCCTAATTTTTCTTCTTTAGCCCATTAGATTTCCTGATATACTGTTACCATAATTTGGCTTTCATTTTCCTGTGTAATTTTTGTATATTTTTCAGAAATGCTGATTAATTACCTCCATGGTGCTCTATGAAACTTCCTATCAAAATACTTTTTTGAAATGCATTTTCAACATTATATATAGGTGAGGAGAAAAGGTTTCTCCTTTCTAGGCTTTTCTAACATTTCTAAAAATGTTAAATATGTTTAATTTGGACTCCTACAATTTACCAAACCCATAAATGACTCTACTAGTCAATAGGTGTTCTTATTCTTAGAAAACCTTCCACTTAATATAGGAAGCCTCTTCAACTTCTACTTTTCCCTCAGAAGTTTACATTTCCCTAGCCCCCCAAAAATGATTAATCCAATTAAAAATGGGCAGAAGACATGAACAGATACTTTTCCAAAGAAGATGTATAAATGACCAACGGACACATGAAAAAATGCTCAACATCACTCATCATCAGGGAAATACAAATCAAGACCACGATGAGATACCACCTCATACCTGTCAGAATGGCTAAAATTAACAGCACAAGAAACAACAGGTATTGGTAAGGATGCAGAGAAAGAGGAACCTTCCTGCACTGTTGGTGGGAATGCAAACTGGTGCAGCCACTCTGGAAAATAGTATGGAGGGTCCTCATAAAGTTAAAAATAGAACTACCCTATCATTCAGCAATTGTACTACTAGGTATTTACCCAAATACAAAAATATTAATTCAAAGGAATACATGCACCCTGATGTTTAGAGCAGCATTATCAACAACAGCCAAATACGGAAACAGCTCGTGTCTGTCAATAAACGAATGAATAAAGAAGATATGGTATAAGTATACATATATTTATATACAAATATAAATATACATGTATACATATATATATACACACACACAATAAAATATCATTCCACCATAAAAAAGAATGAAATCTTGACATTTGCAATAACATGGTTATAGCTGGAGAGTATTATGCTAAGTGAAATAAGCCAGTCAGTGAAAGAAATACCATATGACTCCACATATGAGTGAAATCAGAGTCTTCTAGAAGACTCTGGACTACTTATTGTCAAATATGTAACTACCATGATACAGGGAGACTTTAAAAGTAAGACGGAGAGCTGGGGTGGGGGGGGGGGCGGCTAGTGAACATCTTACCTGCTTTCCATCCAGCGTGCAGAGCCTCTTGACCACTCCTGAATCTAGTTTAATGGCTTCGGTGATATCTGTCAAGACCTGTTCAAATGAATGAGCGGTCTTCTTATTTAGAAGGATCCTCACGGCTTTTCTAGGCTTCACTCCACTTCGAATCACGGTCACCAATTTCGGTTTGATGAAATCTTTACTTTCCTTCACTTCACTTTTCACCAAGGGGGGAGCAGCCAAGGCTCGGGATGTCCCACCCTTGATGTTCACAGACCAGTTCGGATTAATATTTTTGGTGTAATCAACTTTACGAAATGGTTCATTTGATGCACACACGTAACTCTCACCTAAAAAAGCAAAAACCAGTTATATTAGCATAATTATCCTCACCACAGAAGCACTGTATCTTAAGAACAAATGGAGACCCATTAAGTGAACTCTGAAACCTAACAGGTTCACTGGAAGGGGATTCACATCCTTTTCCTTTGGCATTCTGTCCACCCTTTCTCTCTATTTAAACATCTAGATTGGTTTTGAGAGAGAGAATAACACACATTACGAAGTGAAAAGCACAGGACAAATGAAACAAGAGAGATTTGGACTTTATTCTGATCAAATATGTCACCCCGAATAACTCCTCTGCACTTTGGTTCTCAAGATCACTGTCTATAAATTCAAGTTGTTGAATCAGATGAATTCTAGAGTACTTTCTAATTCCAAAAGCTATTAACCATTTTAATTTTTTTTAAATCTCATTCTGGAAGAAATAATATATTCACACAAGGAAATAAAACTATTTTTCTCCTTCCAATTACAGATTTCAGTCCTAATTGAAGAATGATTACTCCATCCTCACATAGCTGTCTAAAATATATTTAGTCATAAGATCATTTACTCAATTAATGAAGTACTGCAAAAACGAAGGAAGAGTTTTGACAGCTCAAAGAAATATACTTCAGGCATTTTTTTTCTTAACTAAAGAATGTGAATTTAGAATAATTAGTTCAAATAGACAGCCTTTTCTATATTCACTTAAATGGGAAAGGATATTAAGCATTTTAAAATGATGTGTTCCTTATTCATGCAGCCTTCTGCCTAATTCTTAAGTAAAATATAAAAACTATAATATTTGTTGATTAGCTTACCAAGTCAATGTTCATTAATTTTAAGTTCCAAAATTACAGGTTGAAAAATAATTTTTATAATTATATGTTGAAAACCATAATTCATAATTATATGTTTAAAATCATAATTTTTCTTTCAGGAAACCCAGAAGTCACCCAATCCTTTTATTCTCACCTTTCTGGCATACAAGAGGACTACACTGTAAAATTTTCTCTAATATACCTTCTAACTCAAAAAGAATCCAGTATTTTTTCTCATTTTCAGTGTAACAGTCTCACTCTTAATAATTATATGACAGGGGCGCCTGGGTGGCGCAGTCGGTTAAGCGTCCGACTTCAGCCAGGTCACGATCTCACGGTCCGGGAGTTCGAGCCCCGCGTCAGGCTCTGGGCTGATGGCTCGGAGCCTGGAGCCTGTTTCCGATTCTGTGTCTCCCTCTCTCTCTGCCCCTCCCCCGTTCATGCTCTGTCTCTCTCTGTCCCAAAAATAAATAAAAAACGTTGAAAAAAAATTTAAAAAAAAAAAATAATAATTATATGACATCAGTCTTAACGTTCATGCTTAAAACAAAAATAGTCAAAATAGTGAAAGGGAATTCCTGAGAAAAACCTACTAATATAAATATTTAACATCCTATTATTTAGGATGTTCTTAAAATCCTGATTAATGGAGAACTTGAAGACTCCCAAAGGCACACAAACAATTCAGTAACAGATCAGGCATATAAGAAGGGTCTAAAAAGAGGAGTAACATCTTCTATCTAACGGTATAACGAGGCCACTGTCCAACTAGGGAACCAGCCACAGGCTTTAATGCTGCTTCCATACCAGTAGTCTGAAAGCCAGCCCAACCATCTCCATTCAGTTAGAGATTTTTCATCTCTGTAGGTTTATCTAAATCACTTTCACAGTGTAATCATCTGGGGAAGTGGTAATTTCAAATACACGCATAAATTTCATAAAATAGAACTATATATCACATGCATGTATTTATGAGCAAAAATACTTATGATTTTGCTTTAATTTTATAGAGAACACAAGTCTCACATTGAAAAGGTCTATTTTTACCAACAATAAAAACTTAATTGTATGTTCTGATTCAAAATATTAAGACAAAGAAAAGGAAATTTCAGCAAGAGACTGTTGTTTTTGTTTTTGTTTTTTTTTTTTAAGGGCAGGGAGAAGTCAGCTGGGGAAAAGCCTTTCCCAGTATAAATGAAAAAAACAATGGCAAAGAGAAACAAAACAAGAGCATGTGTAGTATGTCAGATTTCCTTGATCAACCTAGTCCCTGCACAGTTGACGTATCAACCAAGCAAACTGCCTTTGAAATTCGTCTGTATTTTGCCTCTTTACACAGATTCAGGATGCCAGAATGAAAACAGGTAGAGGAAGTCTGTCTTTTAATTTGTGTATGTGTGGTTACACGTACATTTTAATTCCCTCCTTCTCTCCCTTTTTTGCTTCATAATGTTTCAATTAAGAACTTGTAGGGGTACCTGAGTGGCTCAGTCAGTTAAGGGTCTGACTTCAGCTCAGGTCATGATCTCATGGTTTGTGAGTTTGAACTCCACATCAGACTCTGCACTGACAGCGCAAAGCCTGCTTTGAATACTGTCTCCCTCTCTCTGCCTCGGTCTCTCTCTCAAAAATAAACATTAAAAAAAAAACAAACAAACAAAACTTGTAGATCAGGGGGCACCTGAGGGGCTCAGTCAGTCAAGTGTCTGACTCAAGCTCAGCTCAGATCTTGATCTTGAGGTTGTGAGTTCAGGCCCCACATTGGGCTCCACACTGGGCATAGAGCCTATTTAAAAAACAAAGACATGGGGCGCCTGGGTGGCGCAGTCGGTTAAGCGTCCGACTTCAGCCAGGTCACGATCTCGCGGTCTGGGAGTTCGAGCCCCGCGTCGGGCTCTGGGCTGATGGCTCAGAGCCTGGAGCCTGTTTCCGATTCTGTGTCTCCCTCTCTCTCTGCCCCTCCCCTGTTCATGCTCTGTCTCTCTCTGTCCCAAAAATAAATAAACGTTGAAAAAAAAAAATTTAAAAAACAAAGACTTGTAGATCAGTTCTATAATATATAAAGTTTTGAACCAGCAAACGCCTGCTAGACAGAGCCTCACCCCTTCCTTGTACGCATGGCAGACAAATAACAGTCCACAGAGTGTTCTTCAGTTAGGCCTGGACTCTTCCTCATAATATGCAAGGAGTACCTACTATGCGCTAGCTCACATGCTAAGTGCTGACATAATAAGATACCCACTTTGGCATTCTTGGTATACAACATTTCAGCAGCAAGGTTTAAGACAGGTAAACCTGTGTTTCTGTATACTGGGCACATAAAGCCCTATAGTACAGATGTCATACTTTGATAACAATAGCCACCAAGATACCTAGGCTAGCTTCCCTTCCTATGTCCCCACCCTGATTAAACAATCTCTGATTGTAATTTTTTCACTTCCATATTTGTCTATCAGGAGAGAATATGGTGACAAAAGAATTTAAGATTTTGGTTCCTTGGCCAGTTAGAGCTCTTGCTGTTAACCAAACAATAAATTATTATTCTGTTAGGTACTAAGCACCCACAAGATTGCTTAGAAGCAATCAGCCTCCCCTCAACCAGATTCATGCTACTGTAGAGATTCTGGTTTAAGATTTGTTACCTTCCTGCCAACTTGTCACTTCCCCCTACCTCCCCGTCCTGGCGAGGAATATCACTTCCTGCTAAAAGTACTTAGTTAGAAACCTACACACCATTCTTCACTCTTCTGGTTTCCCTACATGCTACATTCTGACATCAAGTTCTGTCCTATTTTCTAAATATTTCTCAAAATGTCCACTCTCTGTGTCCTGACCACCACCTACTTTCTACTTGGATCAGTTCAAGAATCTTGTGTTTTCTGCTGACTCCCCAATAATGTAACAAATGGCAGTATATCTTATGCTATTAATACACCTGAAAAAGTACATCCTGAAGTAATGAGTTTTGATATACCGATAAAATACATATTCTGAAAAGATTTTTTAAAATTTGCCAATACATACTAAAACCACACTTACCCAAACAAGGAAAAGATAAGCATAAGAGTTAAACTAAGATATAAATGTGTATGTATACATATATCATATATGGACACATGAAAAATAAAGAAGTCCCTGAAGTCCACAACAGATCTGACATTAACAGCGATCTTGACATTATTATAAGCTGGTCTGATGCTCACAGACAGACCTATGTTCTTCCCTGGGATATAAGCTCACAGAATATATCAAAGTCACTCAGGCTACGGTAAAGTGACACAAAAACAAGGTTGCTGTGCAACCCACAAAATATGAGACATCCTCCTCTCAACTCAATGAATTACTGCCACTTCTTTACCAATTATAGCTTTTTCCTCAATATACTCTGTGCTCCCTATAAGATTTAATGAGATACTCATAGAATTGTCCTTCCTTCTAACAGCACCCAATACAGAGCAAGTCCCTGCTTCTGCAGATCCTCCCTGAAATTATCCAACCAAAGCCCAAATTCTATGATAGGTCTAACACCTTCTTACCAAGATGCCCCATGGTATACTCCAATGTCCATTCTCCTTACTGCAGTGAGTAATAAACTCAACTTGTTTGACTACAGGTATGTTCTTGGTGGACTCTGGTGGTTCTCTCGGAGAACTGAGATACACACACACACAAACACATGTGCGCTCTCTCTCTCAATTTCTTTCTCTCCCTCCTTCCAATAATAGTTCTGTGACCATAAGAGTTTTGGGGGAAATCATTTTGGAAACTATAATCACATGAATACTACATACAAAGAAAATTTGCTTTATGTATAGAAAGAAGATGGATAGAAGCATAAGGTGGTTTATAAAACTTAACTGTTTTCATGTACAAAGAGAAAGTCTTTGAATATCCTTTAAGACTCCACAGTGGCATGGTTATGGCTTCTTACCACTGACATTTGTTCAAAGTCACTTTACTTCATAGTTAGCAGGCTGACAAATTGTCTACAATTGTGTAATACAACCTGGGTATTAACCATTAACTTTCATCCTTACTCAACCCAAGATACAGCCTCCTCTTTAAGAGGCAAGAGGATAGGGGCACCTGGGTGTCAGCTGGTTAAGCACTGGACTCTTCATTTCAGCTCAAGTTATGATCCCAGGATTGTGAGATTGAGCCCCACAGGGGGCTCCACACTGAGCGTGGAGCCTGCTTGGAAT